GTACTTCATAAGTTTACGATTCTTCGTTCTATACAAAGCTGATGTGATACCTTATTCATGCAGGGGACCCTGAGTTTGCAACGATGTCTTCGGGTGTTACAGGGTTTCCGAAGGTGAAATATTGGCCGCAGTATGAGGAAGTGACTCAAGTGTAGTACTAGATGAGTCATAACAAGGCCAATACTTACTCGGCGATAGGATAGTGTGAAGAGTCCGAGCCTATCACGTTTTTCATACGGAAACTTTCGTAGACTGATTGACGACTTTGCTAGTGACCTTCGTGAATCTTGCACTCGATATATACGAAACAAGGGAAAGGCGATACTCCGAACGGCAGAAAGAGTTGGAACTATGTTACCCAGAGTCTAAGGTTCCGACCAACTCAGAGAAATATGTACACAAATTGTCTGGCATGTAGTGGAACTAGCTGCAGCTAGAAGCACTGTCCCTTGGCCCAGAGTTTTGGTTCTCCCAATCGAAAAGTGGGCAAGTTCATCTAGAGACTCAGCTTGAGAACTTTATGCAACAACTAATGGAATTAAATCTTTTATCTCCACTTACAAACGACAGAGTTAAGACCATACTAGTACATCTCTCAAAACAGTGTCACAACTAAGTCCAAAACATCGGAACATAAACAAACAACTAGTGCCCAACGTAGCGCTGATCCTTTGTCGAGCAGATAAAGCGTCTGGTTGGGTACTGATGGACAAGTTTGACTATACCCCCAAGCTGCAGATGATTCTGAGTGACAACGGTAAGTTCTGACGGAACGCATTCCAGAAAGAGACGACTGCGCAGGAGGAAACAATAGTCGCTCACATTCTGAAGGAGCTGAAAGAGGCGAGGAAAACAGACAGTTCGCTTTTCATAAGGTCGGTTCCATATGGCTCACAACCTCCGCGACGATACGGACTGCCTAAAGTGCATAAAGCCAAAGTTCCCACGCAAACCAATAATAAACATGTCCTCCTTTGCCTTTCATTTAGTCATCAAATGGATAACAGTTACTTGAAACCGTACGTAAAGAAGTAGCTATTCACACTGGGCCGGTGGCCGAATGGTCTGCACACTTGGCTTTCAATCATAAAATCACCGGTACGAATGCGTATAGGAGTGGGCGTTCTCACAGTATACTCAGCCTTTGCACGACTGGTGGTGGCTGCGCGGTAGCGAAGCACCGCTACGGCGTACAGCTGCCGACTTCTTATATTATACTGTGACGGATACATTCGAGTTAATTAAGCGAATAGAAGATTTGAACGCAGGTGATGAAGTGGTGTTTTCCTTTGATGTAGAATCACTCTTCATTAATGCACCACTGTTAGAAACAGTGAATTTCATGTGATTATTTCACTGAAAGGAACATGAGCCATGGTATCCCTTGGAACAAACTGAAAGAGCTGATCTTACGATGCATCCTCAATGTACAATTCTTATTGTATAGAGTTTACTATCGGCAGATAGATGGGGATGCAATGGGTTTTCCACTAGGCCCGATCTTGGCAGATACCTTCATCGCGAACCTTGTGCGTGGATCACTTAGCAACCTGATCGCGCCAATCGATTCGTAGTACCGATATGTGGACGACACATTCATCGTCTATGACGCTTCCATTGATAGTAACAATTTGCTAGACATATTTAACAGTGTACACCCGTCATTAGCATTCACCAGTGAAACTGAAAAAGACGGTAAGTTGGTCTTCCGAGACGTCCTATTTGTGCCTTCGAGAGAATGGGTCAATTGAAAAAAGTGTACTCCGAAAAGCGAAGTGGACAGGCCAGTACACCCACTTTCTCACCTACGTGCTACTGAGATATAAGGGAAATTTAGTCAGATGCCTATTTTATCGTCCCAGTACCATATGCAGTCCTGGGACAATGGTCACAAATTCAGCTCATCCTTAGTACACTGCAGGATAATGGATATTTTCCCCAGTTCATTAAAAAGCACTCTAGACTACTTCATTCCACCAATGCTGTCACTACAGTGCCGAAAAAGATCATCTTTCTTACAGCTACTTTCAAACGAGACAGTGCTTTTGAGCTGTTAAGGAGGAAACTGTCGACCGTAAGGGCTCACACATTCCCAGTAGACAACCCTAAATTGCTTGCCGAAACTACACCACTGGTTTCTCAGCATCTGAAGGATAAACTCGCGGTCCGGTCCGAAGCTTGCATCCTATGTCAATTTCCTTGCATCTGTAGCTCAAGGCGCCTCAGACATACAACCAGGCGACTGCTTAAAAGGATCGCTGCCCTTCCCTGCGTAGCTATGAAAAGGTACCGTAAAGAACATCAATTGTTTGATACTGGAGCATTTGGTTGAAACAGGATACCAGACTCAGACAAAAGACGCACTCAAGGTCATATATCCCATCCCGAAAGAACACTCCAAGACTAAAGAAACGCTTGTTAACCACAGCCGAGGCCATCGAAATCCGTTTTCAAAACACAACTGTGCAAAGTTTGATCCTACCTTGGCTATGAACCCGCTCCGGCGAGAATTCCTCAAGTCACACATGAAAAACCGACCAGCATTCGTCACCGCTGACCTGTCTACCCTCACTCAGTGTGTGTTGTGTCCAAGCGACTAACTAAGGCATTGAGCGATGACCGACCATGCTGAGCCAATAGTGCGTATATTTCATGCTTTCTAGTTTAGACCTAACTTTCAGTAGCCAATCGATTCTGTAATTTTGCTCTACAATTGTAAATGCCTGATGAGATTTATTGAAAAAGTGTTCTTCGCGTAGTTGTGAAGATTATATATATATATATATATATATATATATATATATATATATATATATATATATATATATAATGGTCAAACCAGTCAAAGTCGACCATTCAAGGGCCCGACAAAAAGTGGTCACTGTGGACTGGTTCATGCACAGGGACATTGCTCATAGGTGAATAGGTTGGGGATATTTTTGGCTGGTCGTCATATCAGATTGGACTGTATATGTAGGTATGGCCTGTTGCAAAAGGTGTTGAGGAGTCCATACGTAATGCATATTTTGATCAGCGCGAATCTACTGCATCTTCCAGCGCACCGAACATTTCAGTGTCACAGTGAGTTGTCTCATCGTTCAAAGCGAATAAACCCTGTTTATCGACCTTTATCCGTTTCTTCGACGGACCATCCGTCCCACATAGTTCCTAAGCTTTTATGCTACTTGTGTAGTTTAAGTAACTAAATAACTAGCACATTGGCGTCCTTGATGCGGGGCAGAGCACAGCCGGAAGCAACCGAGGGTTCACCTACTCATGACTGGCTGGTGCACCAAAACGATGTACACTTGTCGGCACTTTTCCAGTACACATTCCTGAAAATCTCAATGACTGGTTACAACGAAGCAAGAGCGTACAATCTTCCATTGTTTGCATGGAACGAAGGGAAGTGCACATATACTGTTGTGTCGGAAGGACCCGTGAGCGAGAGTACTGAAAAGTAGGAAATCGACCCCCGGAATCAGGGAGATTCTCGCAGTGTTTTTGACTCCAACGAAAACCAGAAACCGGAGCTGGCTGTACAGACCACGTAGGCTGAGGTCACAGTGTGCGTTTCGTTGAAATATTACGACGGATCAGAAACGGCCGTTGAATTGTCCAATCGATAGTAGCCAGTAAAGTTGGCTGTGAGCTGCAAGAATAACATTTCTGGAAAACCCGGTTTTCTCAACATAACCAGAAGGTTGGATGAAAGATACGAATGGGATTAGATACAGTGTCTTCGAGGACTTACCACAGAGGCCCATGTTAAAGCTTGATCGAATCTCGAAACCTAACGTTGCTGGAAAATAAAGTGTATCAACAGTCTGCTTACGATGAGATCGCAGCCGTGTAAATTTCTTTGCAGGCGGCCGAGAGATAGGGGAAACTTGGATTGTGCAGACAGGCAAAAAATAACAGCACGTGCTCCTAAAGTTGACTGGCTATGGATTATGCGTTATCCCAGTAATGAGTGAGTAATGTAAAAATAATAAGAAAAAATTACAGGTGGCCTATGAGCTGAGTAAACGACGTTAGTTTAGAGTGTATACACAGCTGGTAGGGCCGAACAATCAGCAAGTTCGGGCAACTACGCAAACAAGGCCATTGTTGGGCTGTGAAGTACCTGTCATGTGGTTGGACTGCGACGCGAAATGGGACCACGGATCACATCGAAGGAAACTTTGATCATTACGATCATGGTATCAGAACTAAAGAAGTTGGCTGCTCCTCTTGCAGAACTGCACCCCAAGACCCGTTTCCTACTTGTTTGGACTCTTCCAGTAGAGACATCCAGAACTGGGGTGGAACCCCAGACGTAGTGGCTCTCACTTTGATCACTAATCCATTGAACTCATTCCGAAACAATGAATATGAGCGCTTGACCATTGGGGCTCGAATAACATTGTTCCTATCTGGTGAGTAATGCGGAGGTCCGTCCGTTTGTGCTAGGTATCGGACAGTAAAATAGTGCGCTTGAGCGGGTATAGTTCCGAAGCTACCAAGCAAATAAAGGATAAACCGAACAAAAGAAGTCCGCCGAGCGCCCTTGCTACAGTAGAGATTCGGACCGGTCACATCAGCGATAAAACAGTACTGCCGGTAGGACCTGGTTTTAGAGCTAGCAGCGTCCGTGTATTCAATCCAACGAAATCGCGACGTGGATTCTTGTCTGCAGGATAGTTCGTGCTTATCCGTAAATATCGTCCCATTCCCGTCACTTAATATCCTGATAGCATAAAAATGGTAACCAGACACCCACAGCGATCAAACGCCCACTAATTCGGCCGAGTTGAACCACGGCAACAGAGAGTAGGGACATCGGATACGGTCATATCACATTTGAATACAAATCCATCCAAAAAACTTAAGATGATAACCAACCAAGTACTATGAAACTGCAGGTCGAAGTGCACCAATTATTTGGCCGAGGCGCGTAAAAACGTTGGCACATCTTAGATGTACAAATTAAGTAGGCCGAGGTAGGGGCGGGATTGTTTAAAACAATGAAATTATATTGCCGTAAGTGAAGAAAACTGTACAGTCTGCATAAATACTATGTGTTACATGAAATGAGCCATGGGATCGTCGCGGTTGATGCGTGTGCGGTAATAATTTTCCATAACTTCTGCTGTGATTTCTGGTTCTTTTTCTGAGTCCTCAGGCCTTGATTTTTTCGTACATGGGTCTTCAGAACTGCTGGAGGATGAGGAGCTAACAGAAGACTCAGAGGATGCGGAAGAGCTCGATGATGACCTGGAGCTGCCACTTCCACTCCTCCTTCGCTTCCGACTTCGACGGGTTTTGCCAACTCTTGGATGCGACGCCCCTTGGTCCTCGTCACCCGAGTGGTCTCCGTTGGTGGGCATCGGGGGTGGTACAGATAAAGCTCCTCCTGTTGGGTCATCCGGCACCTTTGGATAAGCCACTCCTCTGCTTTTCTGCCCAATGCAGTAGGACTCCTTGATCAGTGAATGACAGCACTTGTAGCCCCATTGTCCGTTGAACCAGTAGGATCCCCAAACAGACTGTAAACGAAATGGTAGATTAGAAACAAAAAATGAATGTAAGATGTGGAAAAGGTTAGAGACCAAACCTATTGACAAGCACTGAGCTCAAAGTGAACCATCGGAATGTCTCGAAACAAGGGGACCACGATGATTGTGAAAACCAATGGATATGAATCTAAGAAAATAAATACAGACCGCAAAAAGACGCAGATTAGCAACCCGATAAGTCCCAACGTTGAAGGCAAGGTACAGCGGGTGACGAGGAATACACTTATTGGGGTAGTAGCAATGTTTCGACCCATAAGCAGAGAACAGAGGAGGATCTCGTCAAGTGAAACAACGGTCAAGATAATCGGATAACCGATCCATTTTCAGATCCGCCGAGCGGAATACTCTGAAGAAAGAAACGGCATGTCTGCTGGCGCTATCGTTTCCTGACACACACTAAGTCCAATCAGATGCTGCAGAATAGCCTACTCATTATCATCATCATCAATAAACGTCAGCTGAGGGTGAGAAACACGCCTTAGATAATTTGCCGCGATACCAAAAAATAGACACTAAAAATTACACTACCGAGAAATGAAAAAAGCAAGTAATATAAGGTTAAATATCGTATTATGCAGTTGTCATGAAATCGTAATCAGAGGAGGAATCTAAAGGAGAGGGGGATGGACGAATAAACTCACAACACAAACGCCATTGGGGCCGGCTCCGACACATAGCAGCAAGTGTGTCCAACCAAACGTACTCATCGTCCTTCGGACCCCAGCCAGGCAGTCGGGAAACAGCAACCGACGCCAACTTCAAAATTAGGGTTTTCATTAATCTCGACTCAGTCTTCGCTTGGTCTCATTCCTCCTGCGGACCCCGGGCGCGCAAACAATGCATGTCGCGGAGTCGGTGGGCGGGCACGCGCAACACGTGGCCCAGTCATAGAAGCCTGGTGCGGGATATAATGGTCCACTCGCTCTTCCTGCACAAAATACGCAACGCCGAAGACGCTTATTGCTCACACGGTGCTCTCACCAGACATGACCTAAGCTCGAAGACAGTGATGATCGAACGTAGTTAGCCTCTTTATGTCTGTCGACTTGATGGGATAGGTTTCACAACCATACAGGTTTCAACGAACGGCTGGATTATAAACTCTGCCATTCACGGCTAGAGTGATGTCGCGTCGCCGCCATAGGTGGTGGACATTGGCAAAAGCACCTGGAGCCTTTGCTATACGTCTGGTGACATTATCTTCAATCCCACGGGGGTTAACATAGCTGTCCAGGTAATGGAACTGAACGATTTCTAGCTGATTACTACCAAGGGGTGGGTCCCTGCCAATCTGGGAGATGAACTTTGCATTTCGATGGACCAAAGTATAGCCCAAAACGATTGACAGCCGGTGCTAATCTGTCCATTGCTGCTTGACACGTTTGAGAGCTGTCGCATATGAGGGCAATGTCATCAGCACACTTCAAGTTAAGTCGCTCACCAGGAAGCTTCACACCTTGTAAGTCGCGTCCATCGAACTTCGCTTCCATGATTTCGTCAATGGCGAAATTAAAGAGGAAAGGTGACAGCGCGCAACCTTGTCTCACACCGCTGGAGATATTGAAGAGCGGCAACAACTTGCCTTAAACCCTCACTCTGCCCGAAGTATGCGCGTGCAGTGTTTGATTATGTTTACGTAGTTTGCGCGCACACACTTTTTGAGCAGACAATCCCAAAGGGCACATCGATCAACCAAATCAAAGGCACCTTTGATGTTGAGAAACACGACAACGGTGGGTCGCCAATAAACATGGCGGTGCTCCAACAATTGACGCAAAGTGAAGATGTGGTCGATACAGCCTCGATTTCGACGAAAGCCGGCTTGTTCCTTACGAAGCTGACCTACATGAGTGTCAGTAAGTCTGTGGAGAATGACAATCGCAAGCAATTTAGAGGCAAGTGAGATCAGACTGATACCTCTATGATTGCCGCATTCCGAACAGGAGCCTCACTTGAAAGTTAGGACTATGACAGAGCGGCTCCAGTCAGTTGGGATAGTTTCCTGCACCTAGATGCACTAAATAAGTAAATCTTTTATCACTCGACGATGCGAGAGAGTATTCCCACATAGGGAAAAAACAAAATATTTAAAGATCTTTTTATTTAGTACCCTCTATATGTTAGATTGGAATATGTATTATGTTATTATTAAAACACGTTCAGAAGTCCCAGTTCGTAGTGGACTCAAGGAGGAAGTAATATAACGATAGTATCAAGGTAGGTAAGAAATGGCTATAAAATGATTTCCAGTTATAATAAATAAGGCGTAAATATTTGGCAAAGAATAATCCAAAAATATAGACATCAGTTTGCAAGGAATACATAAAATTTGGCAAGCGTTCTTGTAATTTCCCTAGTAGTTGTTTTGGGACATCTAAAAATGCGGACTCATGCCGAAAGCCTTACCCTGTGAGAAAAATACTTCAGAATGAAACGAAGATTCTAATAGCAACAGACTCTGGCGCTAAGTACAATGAGAGCGAAAGATGCATCGTTTGGTAAATGACAACATTTCAGTGCTGTTACGTATGCACTTGAGTATCGATTCATAAACACAGGCCCCCACATGATTGGTTGAGAATGACCTTGCCTTACTTTCCTTATTTCATTGGTTTTCCTTGCCGGCTTTTCTAGCCATTGTAACGCAGGATGCACCAAGTAAATCGGTTCCATACTAAGCGTACGCGTTCTGTTCCGTTTATCGGCTAAGGGTCATGCTTAACATTCTTGCGACGAGGTTAAATTACTGCGATGTTTCACCATTCTACACTACTTTGGAAGATTCCTTCTGAGAAACCAACACCGGCTACCTGGAACCGCTGGAAGCGCACTTTGTTGGATTACGTGGAGCTACTACCCGTCTTGCAACCAAACACGGTACTCTCAGAGAGCCAAAAAATTAACTTATTGATAAAATTGCTGGGGAATGAAGACCAAAGACATTTTGATGCCCTCCATGTCGGTGAGGAGGACAGTCAATAGCGCGTTAGAAGTCCACAGCGGGTTCTGGAGTTCACGACTGAACACATACACTGCGCGGTATTCTTCCTCGATCTTGCGTCAAAACCCTGAAGAAAGTGTCATTGATTTCACTGCGCGGATTCAGCAAGCCCTACCAGTGTCGGTATAGTGAAATTCCGGTTACGAAGTTCGAAGAGGCGATGGCTTTACAGTGCCTGATATCCGGTATCCGTAGCGGACAGGCTTGTGAAAGGTTGTTGTCGGAAGATGAGATGTCGATGAGCTGGAAGAAGGCCTGCAATATTGTTCGACAGCTAGAGAATGTCCATAAACAGTTAGCAGCTTTTTCCTCGCAACCTCATACAGACACAACCCAAGCAGTCGACCGAAAAAATGTTACCCCGAGACAGTCCGAATTGCCTTTCACCTGTTACCGATATGGAAATCAGCATTTATCAGTCGAAAAAGGTCGTCATAAACAGAGTATCTGCCACCAAGGTGGAAAATTAGGGCACTTGGCCTGAGTTTGCTGATCTAAAGCTTGCACAGCTGTGGCACCATGTTTTCCCAAGAAGCCCGTGAAGGTCGTCCAGTCTTCAGACGAAGAAGACCAGCTAAACACGAGCTGGAACGCAACGTCGAGCATCTGCAGCATTCACCCACCTTACACTGTGCAATTGGAAATAGAAGGCCAGCTGGTTAAAATTTAAGTTGATACCGGTACCTCAGTTACTATATTCAGTGCTGCCTCAGTTAAAACATTACCCAAGTTGTCCTCCTGTGAATAAACTTTGCGTACGTACACTGAGTAGCCGATACCAGTCCTGGGAAAATGCACTGTCCATGTAAATTACCAGACCTTACAGGCATGTTGTGGCGAATGATTGTCCGAACTTACTCGGGCGCGACTGGATTAAATGCCTTCCAACCACGCTAGAGACAGTAAAGTTCGTACATTAACCAGCACTTGGAGGATGCGCTCAACAAATATTCTGACGTTTTTGATGAAAAACTAGGAAAATTGCACGGATGTCAGGCTAGCATCAAAATACAGCCGGGAACTCAGCCCCGCTTTTCCAGGGCACGTACCCTACCTTATTCCCTGAGATCAAAGGTGGAAGACGAGATAAAGAGATTGCAATCAGCAGGAACAATCGACCCAGTCCAATACAGTGAGCTGGGAGCTCCAATAGTTCCAGTTCTGAAGCCGGTTCTGTGCATATTTGTGGTGACTATAAACTAACTGTTAATCGTTGTTTAATTCTGGATACGTATCCCTTACCTCGGATAGAAGATCTGTATGCAACGCTGGCAGGCGGACAAAAGTTTACACAGAGCGACCTCAGTCACGCGTACTTACAAACTGAGTTAGATGGGACCTCTCGCTCATGCACTACGATAAGTACACACATGGGTCTATTCCAGCACAAACGTCTGCTCTTCGGAATCAGTTCGGCCCCAGCGATATTCCAAAGGATCATTGATAACCTGATCAAAGATATTCCTTTTACTTGCGCCTATCTTGACGATATTCTAATTAGAGGACGTACAGACGTTGAACATTTACAAACGCTATCCACTGTGTTCGAACGTCTAGAACAGAGTGGACTCAAACTGAAGAAGTCCAAGAGTACTTTTTCAGATTCCATTCGTACCTTAGTTATCGCCTCGATAAAAACGGATTACGCGTGTCAGAAGACGAAGTAAAGCCCATCCTTGTCGCAACTGAACCCAAGGATGAAGCTAAACTCCGATCGTTTTTATGGATATTTTCTCACTATCGTCGCTTCGTACCGAACGCATCAACAGTACTTGAAACCTTGTACGAACTGTTGCACAAAGGAAAGTCCTGGACTTCGGGTCGGGATCAAAGAAAGGCCTTCACAGATGCAAAAAGAGTGCGCAGCGCCTCCCCGTATCTCGTGCATTTCGATCCGAGCCGGCCTCCAGTGCTGCA